GTGTCTGCCTATTCTGATGCAGATTGGGCAGGGTGTGCTGATGACAGAAGGTCTACAGGTGGCTTTGTTGTGTTTCTGGGAACAAATCTTGTGTCATGGAGTGCAAGAAAACAGGCTACTGTCTCAAGGTCGAGTACTGAGGCTGAGTATAAAGCTTTAGCAAATGCTACAGCTGAAGTCATGTGGATTCAAACATTGCTTCATGAACTTGGAATTAAAATTCCTCAAGCTGCAAGGTTATGGTGTGACAACATTGGTGCAACCTATCTTTCAGCTAATCATGTTTTTCATGCACGTACAAAGCACATTGAAGTTGATTTTTATTTTGTAAGAGAACGAGTGGCTCGAAAGCTACTTGACATCAGGTTTATACCTACAGGGGATCAACTTGCTGATGGCTTCACAAAACCGCTTACTATGAAGAGACCGGATGAGTTCAAGTACAATCTTAACCTTGATAAGATTACTTGAGGTTTAGATTGAGGGGGAGTGTTAGGATAAGTTGTATAGGGAGAGGAAAGTAGTTTTAATTGTACTCTGTCTTCTATCCCTTCTTCTATTCCAACTCCTGTAATCTTGATCGATCCTGTTACGATCGATCGTTCCTTGTAAGCCACGGCAATGTTTCTATATAATGCAATGTGGCCCAGACGAAGGGTTCTACGCTTCCCACAATAACTTATACAATGTTGGTCTTCTTTTCTCTTGCCTCGCTACTGATAATGATAATTATCTATTTAGTTAGGCATATTGGCGTCACCTGAATTTCACGGGTAGGGAACAGGATGAATAAGGTCCTACCGGAATTTCAGATTGCTACTGGATGATCTATGCCACGTAAATTCATTACATCGTCACAAAATTGTTTCTGCCATGGCCACTGCCATCAAGTACCCATCGGTGTAGTTTATCTGTTATGCTGCTGGCAGCCATCCCTTTCCCTGAGCTCTGACAAGAGTTACATTTGCTCCTGGCAATTTGGCGTTGAACAAAAACCTCCTCTACCTTTAATTACCCCTAAATCCTATATCAGCACCCACTATGTATCTTATAGCGGTGGAAACCAGACATCCGCCGTTGTATAGTTTACATCAACGAGAGCCTCCAGTGTGTTGGTGGTGATCAGGCCATGGATTCAATGAACTATTGCACAGTGATGGTCTTGTTTTTTCTAATGATTGTAATTAACTAGTAATAATGTGCCGCTAAACTACCATCTTGGCATCACCTGAATTGTCACTGGTAGGGACCACAATGAAAAAATCGTATGAGAATTTTCATTCCTCATTGGATGATCTATAACACGTAAATTCGTTATTGATGAAAAATTATTTATGGCATGCCCACGACCGTCGAGTATCCATCGCTCTAGATTATATACTATGTTATGCTGAAGTTGGCGGCATTCCCTGAGCTTTGACAAGTGTTAACATTTGTTCCTAGCAACATTGAACAGAAACATCCATCTACCTTTAATTACCCCTAATTAAAGGATATATCTACCTTTAATCAGCACATACTATATCTTGTAGCCGTGGAAACATACCATCCGCCGTTATATAACTTTTTTTGAAACACAGTACAGACGCAAGCGCTCATATACACGCGCATACACTCACCCCTATGGACGCACACACGCACACCCTACCTCTCTAAGCACCTCCGAAAGACTGAGTCGGCCTATCATCTTGAAATTTACGAAGTCACCGTAGGCACCTCGTCGTCGACGGGAACGTCTCCTCCCACTGAATGTGAATCGCCAGAAATCCTGAAATAAATCTAGAAATAAATGCGAGCACCGAGATCTGAGGATACCACATTTCCTCTAACCATCCAACCACAGGTTGGTTTGCATTATATAACTTTTGTTAACGTGAGCTTCCGAAGTGTTGGTGGTGATCGGGTCATGGACAGAATGTCTAATTATCAACCATGGTTTCATTTGAATTTCTAAAGTCTAAAGTCTAAATCATGACATTTTATTGAATTTCTAAAGTCTAAATCATGTCATTACAAGCCACTGACAAATTGTCTAATTCTAAACCATCGTTTTTTAGGGATAAACCATGGTTTCATATGATGCAGATAGTAGTTTTTTTTTTCAATTCCAAAGTCTAAACTATGGTATCACAAGCCAGCAACAAGTTTGTTAAGAGTTGGATCTGCATTGTACTACCATGTCCCAGGCAAGAAGGGCGCTATAGGAAGCGGGTATTTCCACTTCAATTACACAATTCGTATGAAGTTTCTTAAAATCTCCGTGCCATCCTTGTATTGCATGCCCACTCATCCTTCCTCTCTCTCT